CTGTGGAGGGCAGTGTCACTGGCCCTCATATGTGGGATCTGAACCAGGGCCCTCTGGCGTCCCAAGCCAGTTCTTAACCATCGCGCCACTAGGCCGGCCCCCCCAATAAAATCTTAAAAAAAAAAAAAGATGAATGTATTTGTCACTGAGGGAGCATTTTGCAGGAGCAGCGAGCTCAAAACAAGTAAGCTGTGGCCTGTGCCACAGAAAGCAGGTGATGCTGGAGGGGGCTAAAGAGGTCAGCTATGACTCTTGGGCTCACCTGACGGACAAGAGAAGGTTTGAAGTTGACAGCCTCTGTTTCTCTATAGTATAGAAGAAAAAAAGACAGGTTCCTTGCCTTCTGGAACTTTGTAGATTTCTAAAAGAAATAAGACAAGTACTCATAGAAATAGAAAACAAGATGAAATATGATAAAAAGCCAAAGAGAAGAAGAATCCAAACGCCCTGGATAGAAGACTCAAGAGATGCTGCCAGGTGGGTGAAGGTGGGGACAGGGAGGAGGGACAGAAGGAAGGACGACAGCTTTATGCAGTGGGACTCCACACGTGTGCATTCAAAGGACGACCAGAATGTTACCACACAGGAAAGGACAATGCCATTCCACGTCAAAACTCAGGAGCATAGGTGAATGCTAGAAAGCACAGTATGTTCAAGAAACAGCAAGATCAGGTCTGAATGGAACAGGGGCTTCAGCCAGGGGACTGAAGAGGACCAACTGCAGGGCTGTCTGAGCCAGGTTGCAGAGGGCCATGGGCTCCAGACTGAACAAGAAGGTCACACTGGGGAACTCATGAAGATTAGGAGACACTGGGGGACTCATGAGGACTTTTAAGCAGGCGAGTGCCCGATCACTCAGGCAGGAGTGGAGCAGCTGCAATGAAGGGGGAAGAGGCTGAACGCAGGTTCCCTTTGGAGGCTGCTGCAAGAGTTCAGGTGAAATATCAAGAGCTTGGCATTTAGGGGACGAAAATGTCACTGGGAAACACACAGAGGAGGTTACCCCTTAACCTACTGAGAGAGGTCCAGTCCTAATTGGAATAAGATACTTTCACTGTGAGTACCCAGAGGGGCCTGCTAGTCAAATATTAAGCCACCGTGCTGGGTAAATGTGTCCAAAGGTCCTGAGCTGGACAGACAGACTAAGTCAAGTGGTCTTATATGCTGAGTAAATGTTTGAGAAGGGATGAAGATAATTGCAGAGGTTTCCCTGAGTAATCACGAGTAAAGTCAGGAGCATTTGTTAAACAAACACCAACAAAGATGATCTCAGAAGCAGAAGTCAGAGGACTGGCAAACCCATCTCAGATGTCCCAGGAGAGATGAAGCCACACAGGCCCTACAGCAAGCCAGGTGGGGCGGGCTGTTGCAGTGGGCACCTGTGATCACCTGAGACACCTGCTGAGATCTGAACCTCTGCTTTGTGACTTCCCCAGTCAAACAACAACCCCAGAGGCCTCTCCGTAGCCCTCAGCCTCTCGGGCCTCTCCGCAGTATACCTGACAGAAGATCCTCGAGTTTGTTCCAAACTTGTGCCATCCATCAGGAGGCAGGTAAACCAAGTGTTTAAAATAGGATGAGAAGTTTTTGTATTTTTTTTAATAGGAAGAGTAAAATTAAAAGTTATTTTTCAAGGCCAAAGAAAACCAGGTACTTTGCTTCAGATAAAATCTTCGATCTAACAAACACCTGTGGAAGCAAATAGGCTGGAGTGTGAATCCAGCTGTGTGACCTCGGGTAAGGGCTGGTCTTGCTGCACTTCCATGTGCTCAAATGACAGTCCCACCCACCTCACAGAACTGTAGTGAGAGGGACACACAGGGTGCCCAGGGCAGGGCTGGGCTCACAGCAGGCCCTCAGTGGCAGCCCCTTTCTCCAAAGGACGGCTGCACTCACATCTCCCAGGTCCCTGAAGGTTGTCACAGCCTCTGCCCTTTCCTTTCCTTTTCTTCCCAGCCTTCTCAGTCCTCCAGACTAGATGCCTCTGAGTTGGTCACCTTTGTCTCAGTCCTCGTCTGTATCCCCTTTCCCACAGCCCATTTGGAACTGTCACTTTGCATCATATATGAGATGAAATGCTTCAGAACACAGGCCATATCCTCAGACCCATGAGTTCGAACCATTGCCTGGTTCAGCCACGTGCTAGCTAGCATGATCTTAAGGGAATCACTTAACTTCTCTAGCTTATCTCCCAAGGTGGTGAAGTTTCCTCGAGTTTTGCATATTAGGTGCTAGGCAGGCACACCGCCTGGCCCACAGAAAGGAGTCCATAAATGTTAGCTATTGTTACTGAGTTCTTTCTTACATGTGTCCAATCTCCTCCCCTTCCCTTGCTGTCCCCACCTTGGCCTAATCCCTATCCCTGCACACCCGATGTCTAAGCCGCTTCCTGGCTGC